ATTTCGTCGTGAATCAGCGTTTCCCCGCCGAAAACTGAAAATTTCCTGCGGAAAAATTGAAACTCCCGACGAAAAAATATTTTCCCGCAGGAACTGGCGGAATCACGCTCATTTTTTTTCACTGGGTCTTCTCATCACGACTCACGTTTGCTTCTTTCAGGCGATTGGTTTGGTACGCATTGTCAATATTCATTTGACAATTATACTGGCCACGAAGAATCATTTGATAGAATAGTCAAGTTGCAATTTGAAATGAAAAATAACCTATACAACCAAGAGTTCATTATTGAAACCCATTTGACATGTTATACAGGTTTGAAATCATGCCATTCAACGTTATGTTTGGATTGGCGACAAGTATGTGATGGTAGAATGGATTGTGAGAATGGTGAGGACGAGCAAAGTTGTTTGCAATTGGAAATGAATGAGTGCACAGAAGATGAATATCGATGTCGCAATGGTATGTGTGTACCGAAAACGTTTTTGTTTGATTTTAGTCATGACTGTATGGATTTGAGTGATGAATTCGAATCTATAACTGAAAGTTCATCGACTATATTCACCGAAGCCTGTTTCCGTACGCCAAATTTTACCTGTGAAGAGCGTTTGTGTCCTCGGTCTACTTCTTTTTCTTGCGGTGATGGTAATTGTGTACACAATATTGCTTATTTCCGATGTCAAAATGCACGTGACTTGTTGTATCGTCAAAGTGTGCATTTACTTTCATTACACAGATCTAATATGAGTTATGAATGTTGGTTTTTCATGTTATGTGTAACGCAAAATGCAGTACTCTTTGGCATGAATTTTTCAATTAAATGCAATAGTTTGTGTCGATCAGCAACAAACGGAGCTCGTAACGCTACTTGTTTATACCAGTATTACAAGACACATTGTCCAAATGAGAACAAACTATTTTTTCAGTCAAATTATCGTCTTTATCCGTTTGTACGAATTCTTTACTACAACATAACTGAAGAAGAGCACAAGAATATCAATTGGGAAGCGGGTAGTTATTTTTGTTACAACAATAGTCAATGTCCAAATTTCCCCTATGAAAGCGACTTGTTTATTGACAATTTGTTTTGTGTCAAACTGACTAAACTTGGTAAAGCTCCTATTTCAAATACAAAACTAATAGAAGTATTTTCTTCTTGTTCAATGCCGCCTGCTCTCTTCGCTAGTAACAGCAGTCGCAATAGTAATCTGTTTTATTGTGACAAATCAATGAAAGCTATTTCGAAGTATCGCGTTCATGATAGTTTGGAAGATTGTCATTTTTATACCGCTGATGATTTAACCATTGTGTTAGACGAAGATGTGAATAAATTCCTCAAATTTCCATGTCCTCCATTTAATTTGACAAGAAACAGTCGTTTCAAATGTGCAACAACCGATCAATGTGTTCCCCGGTCATTTATTGGTGGCCAGAAATCATTTTGTGCCGATAAATCGGATAAATTCTATTTTGGTAATTGTAAACAGTCTTTAGACTTCGGCTGTCAATTTCTTCGTGACCTTGCTTATCCACCTGTTTATTTCATTTTTCAAGAAAACTGTAATGACTTTCATAAATTACCGTTCAATGTTAATAATGAAACGGATGAAACAAATTGTGAAGAATGGCCTATCGTCTACAAACAGCAATATCAGCGATGCAACGGTGTTTGGGACCAATCAAATGGTGAAGATGAACTGAATTGTCCAAATACAACAGTTACGTTTATTAGAAAAAAAATATTAAAATGTAATGAAAGTGAACACTATTGTGCCAGAATCGATCAACACGGTCAAATGGGTTGTTTACCAGTTAATAAAGCAGGCGACGAAGTAACCGATTGTCTAGGAGCAACAGATGAGCGAACAACAAAATGTATTGATGAGGAAGAAAAGCCATTTTATTGTTACATTGACAAATATAGTGGAATGTGTATGAAAGTGAGACAAATTTGTGATAAATTGATGAGCTGTGATGATTCACGTGATTTCTGTTCTTGGAATATAAAGTCTCCTTGTTCTGTAGAAGAGTTTATGTGCAAAAATAAGAGATGTCTAAGTGCAGAAGATCGATGCGATGGGATTTGCAAATGCAAAGAATGTGAAGATGAATGGTTCTGTGATCTGCGATATGTGAGAAAACATCTACAATTTTCATTCGAGACAATAGAAACTGTCGGCAACGTAGCCAATAGTACTAATAAACGTGCTAATTTGACCAGCTTTTCTTCTTCTTCGTCATCTATCGTCAGCAATGCTATCAGAATTAGAAAAAACATTTCTGAACAATGGTATTGCAATCGTGGCATCGTTATCAATCGACGTAATAAAACAGATCGATCGCGAGAGTGTCTTTGTCCGCCAAGTTACTATGGCAATCGATGTGAATTTCAATCAGATCGGGTGACAATCATTTTGCAAATCGATAGTCAAGCATCGCTCATCGTTGATCGACAAAATATTATTAAAATTGTTGCCTTTCTAATACATGAGGATACGATTGTCAACCATGAAGAAATAGTTGTTCACAAGGCTCTGATGAAACACAGTTTCTACTTGATTTATCCTTATCCTGCGCCAAAGCAAAATGGGCATTGGTTTATTCGTCTAGATGCATTTTCTGTGACAAAATCCGCCGTTTATTTGAAGCATCGTGGCTGTACAACCTAACATTTCGGTTTCTGCCTGTCAGTCGTCTTGCATTACATTTAACACTTAAAGACGTTCACGAATGCAATACAGTGCTTCGACCATGTGGTAGTCATGGTCATTGTAGAAAATATTTGAATCCACCCAACAATGCATATTGCCAATGTAAACAAGGTTGGACAGGGGAGCATTGCAATATCACAAGCACATGCTTGCAATCAAAATGTGCCAATGGCGGAAGATGTGTTAGCGGATACTCAAATCATGTAAACATCTGCATTTGTCCCCTTGGGAAAATAGGACCGGATTGTTGCGCACAGTTTGATCCGTGTAAACAAGTTCAATGTCAAAATAGAGGTACATGCATTCCGCTCGATGACCGATCATCCTATCAATTCATCTGCCTCTGTCAACATGGTTATTATGGAACTCTGTGCGAGTTTATTTCGGCGTCTGTTGAAATTCGTTTTTCAAATAATCTTCAAGGTTTGTTGAGAGTCATCATCTTTCATTTTGTTGCTCTACAACAAGGTACACCTGGTGTATTGTTCGTTCAAAATCGTTTCATGTATAAGAATGTACTATTGGAGAGACAAATGCATATTTTCAATCACGGTCAACAATTCCTTCCGGCTTTTCTTGTAGTTCAAGTATTTTTTGATCTAAATCGATTTGATTATTATCTAGCAATGGTAAACCCACAAGAACAGCAAAATCACCTTCATACCAAAATAGTTCAATCAAATCGTTGTCCATATGTTAATGAACTTCTGAAAAATGATAGTGAACCAATTCAAAAGTATCCATCAATGAAAAAGATCAAATATTATCATCGCGCATGCAAATTGAAAAGCACAAAATGTTTTGTTGACGAAGCACACATCTGTTTCTGTAACAAACATCGATCACCTGATTGTCTAGTGTTTCTGCATGAGCCAACAAACTGCACAACAGATTATTGTCAAAATGATGGACACTGTGTCCAAAGTCAACATAATGGCATCTGGGACTTTGGTTGTGTTTGTACCGGGTGTTCATATGGTGCTTTGTGTCAACTGAAGACATCTCAATATGTGTTGTCATTAGATGCCATGCTTGGTGCTGATCTTTTAGAAGATGTACCACTAATCCTTCAGCCACGGCTGATTAAAATAACCTTGACAGTCGTTGTACTTATGTTTATACTTGGATTTGTCTCGAATGCTTTATCGCTAATCACATTCTGGCAACCAAAAACGCGCGAATTCGGTTGTGGCTTATATTTGTTTTGTTTGCCTGTTGTCGGTCAATCAGCTCTGTTAATATTCGGTGGTCGGTTCTTTTATCTTCTTGCAACACAACTAAATGTTGTGGATGACTTGAAAGTTGCTCTTTGGAGTTGTATTGGTCTTGAATATTTTCTTGGTGTTTGTCCGGCTCTCTTTGACTGGTTAACCGCGTGTGTTGCGACTGAACGGAGTATCAACATTGTCAAAGGGGCTCAGTTCAAGAAGAAAGTGAGTGTCAAATGGGCAAAACGCGTTATTCTTATGATCGCTGTGCTTGTTTGTGCCAGCTCGTGGCATGAACCGTTCATTCGACAATTAACCGATGATCCTCGCTCGTCAGCGCACGCCTGGTGTATTGTCAAATTTCGATGGTCGTGGCTCAAATATTATCGTCTAATAGTCTCAGTAATCAACCTCATCGTTCCGTGCGCTATAAATTTGTGGGCTACCATTTTCCTTCTTCATAAAACCACAAGGAAAAAACAAACGTTTGCACTGTCAACATCGAAGAAAGGCTACTTAAACACGTTGAAAAAACAAATTTTGCTGTATGGCAGCCCTTTCTGTCTTATTGCACTCGGTCTGACACGGTTGATCTTTTCGTTTACATTGGTTTGTATTAGTTCTAAATGGGAAAAATATATGTATTTAACAGCTTATTTCATTTCATTTGTTCCATTGATGGGCACATTTCCAATTTTTGTCCTACCAGCTGCAGTTTACAAAAAAGAATTTCAGAATTTTATTAAACGAAAGATAATATGGTGAGATATATGATTCGACTCCTTTTGATACACTTTAAAACACTATGTTCAAACATTACTCGTGTCATGTTAAGACATTTCTACTGTTAATTTGAAGACTTTTTTCGTCGAACAACTATATGAACTGTTTGCTTCTTTAAAAAGCTTTTTGTGCTGCTAAGTTCTTGTTTTCTATTCACATTATGCTTTTTTACGTACTGATAATATTTCTATGTTATTCTTTTAAAGTATTTTGAATTATTTTGCTCTGATTTTGTGAATCTATTTATTTTTTTTATTGATGATTATGCTATGGTCCAGTTTGTTTCACCATGATTTGTGCTCCTCCAGCAAAATCGAGGTGGTGGCTGTTGACATCCAATATAATTATTAGTGCCGTGAACGCAGCTAATATAAACTGTCCAGGTACAGAAGCCAAGATCTAACAAGATAAAGTGTGCCAAAATATTTATATAGTAAGTCAAATGAAACAAATGTATAAAATGCTACTAGAATACACATATAAAAAATTAGCTCGCATTTCACGTTATAACTAGAAATGAAAAAATGCATGAGTGTATATACTACTGCAGACAGATCTCGAAAAGAAGAAATGAAATGACGGTCTAAAGTCTAATTCGACTAAACAGGTAAAAGAAAGAAGGAGAATAGATGATAATCAAACGACAAAAATGTGAAAAGAATCGATATCACTCAGAAAAGCGAAAGGAAAAACCGAAACTTGGAAAATTTGTCAACTTGCCAAAGCGAAATTTTTGTAAACATTCGGCGTGTCGTGCTCACTCCTATTCACCTCAAGTACTATTGTTTAAACATTAGTGATATTGAAAGAATCTTGCGATTGATGAGCATGATCGGTTATATGTGACTTTTGATTCATTTTCTTAATACCTTCTTAATGTTCTTCGAT